TTATCATTAATTGGCAAGTATTTGTCTTTCCATTCTCCTGTACAATAAATGACACAATAAATTACTGACCAAAAGACATATCCTACTCTCTTTACATGTACATGTATGTATATATATGTAATGTACTATAGTGTGCATTGCGTCTTACCACAACGTTTGTTAGCATGTGTTTCTGTTTCCACAATATTTGCCAGATATTTCAGCAAGTACATTTGATGGGACCTCAACAGACAATGCAGTTATGTCTATAATAATATTATTATAATAACAATGCTGATGTATACAGCTGCTCACTTGCGCTAACGCGAGAAAGAGTGAAGACATGTGAGACTGAGAGGTATACCTAGAGAAGAAAAAAGAAAGAGCAAGAGTTAGACATACAGTATACATATACATGAGGAGGAGAGAAAAGCAAAAGAGAGAAAGAGACATCAAGAGACAAGATATACAAAATAGGTGTCAATTAAGGAACACAAAAATGAGGCAATGGATACATGTATTTTTAAAAAGGGAATAACTTCGTGTTATGAACCTATAGTAACATTACAACATGCATTATGCAGCTTTACTAAACATTATAATACCATGTAGCAAATAATACTTAGACTACATGATTAATGACTGTGGAACTTCAATGCATAAATCATGAGGATTCGTCTGAGACCATACATGTACCAGTAAACAATCACAATGATTACCATAGACAAGGCACTCTGGGCATAACTGTTATAATGGAGATTTCAATTGTAAGCACTTACACTATTAATGATTTAATTTATAAAGCTTTCAACAAAGCATTATTTCAGTTTAATTTATTTACCAAAAGTTTTGTTACTCAATAAACATTTTTGATAAGGCCTAAATGTTTCTTCCATGCTAAAAATTCATCCAATACAGGAATGTAGCATAGGTAGGTAAAGCAAGATTATAGGTAAAACTAAATCAGATACAATTATACTGTATCAGACCCATAACCCGATTATTATACATTGTACAATGACAACACAGTATAGACCTGTATAACAATTTTCAGGCCTGGTGGTCCCAAAGTAGTTCTAAAATGAGTACAAGTAGTGTGGTACCAATAGTATCTTCAATGTTCAAAGTACACAAAATTTTACATGCATTATGTAGCATGCATGGATTATGTCAGTGATACTATACAAGGAATAAATTGAACAAAAATGTATAATTGAGTATTGCATCATCATTCATTA